AATACTTATGAATGATGGTAGGCATCAATTCACTAAGTAATGCTTGATGGGAATTTGTCCCTTTATCTTCTTTTTTTTTTTTTTGGTTCTCTGTTATTATTACTTTTCTCGCTGACTGTTTATCCGCAATGGGATTGATATCGAGCTGACTGTTTATCCGCAATGGGATTGATATCGAGCACAGGTATTTTGAAATCTACACCTCGAAACAACTCAATCATTTAAGTAGGTCGAACTGAATTGACTGACTCGATTTCATATTTTACTAAATGTATGTATATTTACAAGCATTCAATATCGAAATTTACCATTTTCGTCCAAGTGCGAGACAAATTGATACTGACTCAATATTGTTTCTTAATGTTTTTATCATTATTGTTGCTACTATTATTAGTGATGAATTTTATTATCAGAATAAACATATATATTATCGTTGTTGTTATTATTATTATAAATTATTTTATTTTAATTTATTTTTAAATTAAATTACTTTATATTAAAATCTAACTCCAAATTTTTTATTAATAATTTTTGTGTGGGTGAATTAGGAATCTTAATATATGGATATTATTAAATTTTTTATTATTATATACTAATAACAATAATTAAATTTTTTATTTTTATATTAATAGTTATTCTTCTTTTTTTTAAATAGTTAAACGCGTAATTATAAATAATTATTATTTTATTAAATCGTTAATTGTGATTATTTTTAAATATAGTTTGAGTTTGAACATTTTTTATTAAAAAATAATTATTAAAATTTAATATTTATTATAATTTAATTTTTAATATTTTAAAAAAAATTATTATGAATATATTATATTTATTTTAACTTCTAATTTTTTTTATTTTTAATTAAAATAATTATATAATAGTTAAATACTTTTTAAAAATAATTTTAACTAATTAATTATATAATAAATTAACAATATGATATAATTATTTTATTAATTTAATTAAATAAATAAAATTATTCTTTCAACATATTTTAAGATATTTAAAAATAATATAATTATTTAACATTTAAAATAAATAAAAGGGTTCAAAGTTTAATATTTTTTTTTTTAGAAAAAAACAACAGTTTAAACGCGTGATCGGCACGGCTACTCGCTGTATTCAACTTCTCTCCCAGCGCGTGCTTATTCTTATCCTCGTAATGACACTAAAACCGCCAGCATTCAGTTTCCCGTTCCGTTTTAATTTTATCGGGACTCCGTTAATTTAAAAACCTAACAAACAATTAAATAACCTTTTCGAATTTCCCGGCCACTCGCTTTCCGTTTCTTCCCCTCTCTGTCTTCCTTCTCCTCCTCCTCCTTCTTCCTCCATTTATATCCCCTGCTTTTCCCCTTCGCCAAATCCTCCACTTTCTCCCCTCGGAAAATCATGAACATCCTACCGCTGATACCTCTCGATCGATACATAACGATGTTTACTCAGATTACCTGACACTGCCGCGACTCTAAACTTCTCTTTTCTCAATCAGGTAAGAAAAGATGAACCGAGAGAAGCAGTTTCGTTATTCTCTCCCCTGGATTTTGTTTTCTCCAGAAAGTTTCACTAATTTCTCCCTCTAGTATTATTATTGTTATTCTCTGTTTCTGGAATCGACGTCAGCATTGGCTGCTGTTGATTTTACTTTTTGATTAAGAAACAAAAGTTGCGTGACTCGGAATTCAGCCGGGATGACTCGCCAGATATTAATCCGGTCGCCGCCGGTGAATCGGAGGCAGCCATTGCTGTCATTGGAGGAGACGAATTCGACGCCAGGGAGGGCGAGATCGCCGGCGGAGAAGAAGAAGAAGAAGAAGAAGGGGAGGAAGCTGGGAGAGATGGCCGGAGGTGCCGCGGCGGAATGCGCGGCGGTATGTTGTTGCTGTCCGTGTACGGTGATGAACCTTCTGGTTCTGGCAGTCTACCGGTTGCCTTCGGGACTGTGCAAGAAGGCATGGAAGAAGAGATTAAGGCAGCGGAGGAAGCGGCAGAATGGCCTTCTGGTCGGGGATATGTCGCTGAGTCGAGAGAGCGGTAGCTGGCCTTCGGGAATAGATCTTGAGACAGAAGTGAAACGAGTGGCGGACGGAGACGGCGACGGTGCCATCGCCGGCGTCGGCGATTGTGAAACGGAGGCCGTTGATTTGGACAAGGAGATGTGGGACCGGTTCTGTGGGACCGGGTTCTGGAGGAGCCCGTCGCAAAGAGAGGAGGGTTGCTGATTTTTGAGGGGGCAAATTGTCAATGTGGGGCCCACGACGGTGGTGGAATGTAAATGGTGTTTCTGAGGGTTGAGTGCTTGGTGGGAAAGTTCAAAGTGAATTGTAATTAAAATATCAAAAAAAAAGAAAAGGAAGTACATAAAATTTCTTATTAAATCCTTAGGGATAAATGATTTAAGAGTAAATTGTGTAAAAATGTTTTGTAGTTTTATTGTTTTTGTTAGCAATCTCTCTTGACGCGTTCATTGAAACTGTTCATATCAAATTCATCGTTTGTAACTATCTCACATCTCATATCTAATGAAATATAATGAATTGGCACTTATTTAAACTGTTCATATCAAGTTCATCGTTCGGAACCATCTCACATCTGATATCTAATGAAATATAATGAATTGATACGATATTTTAAATATAAATACGTAATTATTTTAAATACATTAATTATTTCTTTATTTTTTCATCATAAGAAATAAATAAGAGAAAACATCTTGTCATTTATTCGACAGTTTATGATCCTCTCACTCAGATAAAAAAAAATGAAATAATCTTGTAGGATTCTTAATAAATTCTTCGATTTTTTCTAAAAGCTATTCATCCGCTTCTCAAATTTCGTGAATAATCACAATATTGAGACATAAGTTTATAATATTTTTAAGTTTAAAAAAATAATATTTAGACACGTAATTTTTTTTCTCTCTTTTAAATTTTGTATGTTTGTTTGAGTTAATTTGATAAAAGTAAAATCAAGTAACATTCAATTAGACTATCAATAAGCTCGTTATGTAATTAAGTTTACATCCCCTTAAGGAATAAAGGTATTGGAGGGTAAGCGACTTGACGAAGAAGAAGGATGTTAATGATGCAATATGTATCATAGATAATGAATCATGTCATCCATGGGGAAAAAAATTGATTTGACATTTTTAGTATGATTATACTTTTATATTATTCAATAGTTATTATAAGATTCAACTATATTATAAAAAAAATTCAAATATTAAATAAAATTATGAATTTTAACTTTTTACTTCGATTGACCTCAAAATAAAAAAAATAGTATAAAAAATGTATTTTCATATT